AGGAAGTCCTAGTCTAAAATGGACTTAAACAAGGACTTCTAGGGTTTCTAATTATTTGTTGGCTATTTTGTAGTGCTTGTATGAAGTGTTTGATTGAAATTATGTTGTCATAGAGTAAGCATCATGCATGCTTTCATGTTTTTGATTCATAGTTGACATAAGTGTTGTAGTTACAAGGCACCAAAAATTTCTAGTTGTGACAAAAATTATAACATTATTTATCTTGTGCTTTATTATATTAATCTTATAAAACTTATGTACATATTTCCTTATTTTCTCTTTGATTGTTGTGCTCTGTTTGGGATATGTTTTCTTACTTTTCAACCCATTATTAAATTTTGATAAATTTATATTGGTAAATTTCCCCATTTTATATTTTCAAAAATATAAAGATCTTGTTCTAATGATTTTTGGTTTATTTTATATTAAATTTACAAGTTAGTAACTTTTAGTTGTCAGTTTCTGGACCACTCAACACTCTTGGAATAATCTGTACCAATCTACTAAGAATTACATCAGTCCCTTTATATGTGGGAAACTATACATCCATATCTAACTATATGATTTGGAATTTTGGAATTTGAAATAGTGATGAATTTATTATGATTTTTGAAAACAATGCATGAAATTTGTGATAGCATAGACTAGTGTGTGAAGATTTCCAGTTTTACCCCTCAAAAAGTTGGAATTTCGAATTGTGATTCAAACTTCGAAGAAACTAGACACATTAATATTTCTGGAAAACTAAATCTCATGATTTTTAGATGTTCTTATTGAATTGCATGAATTTTTTAAGTTGGAGGGAAGATTTGGGAAAATTGATCATAATCGCTTTTACATCACTTTTGGTGTTCTATTAAGGACTTAATGGTTAAGTCTTAAGTTTATCACTTTTAACAAGATTATTGGTTACTTATTAGGCTATTGATATGTGAAATTCAATTTAACATAAGGGCCTTAATGCTTGGCTTGATAAGGGTTCAACGTAAGGATTTTCACATAAAAATGCTACTTTTACACTTATTAGGTTCTTTCAAAAAATATGACAAACACCTTGTGTGCATGAAATCCTACAATGATAATTAACTCTATAATAGACTCCAATCCATCCCCTAGAGTTTACTATTTTCAATAAAAACAATCAACCTTAATAACATCATTTCCATATTAGTCTTGTGCTAAAGTACAAACCGAGTTCATGATTTCATCCATTACAACTTATGTATTTTGATCATCATAATGCTCCAAAACCCTTTGTTAATTTCACATGTAACACACCGTTTTTCAAGTGTTTAATTATGAGTCCCTGAGGTTTAAGAGAAAGGTAATTCTGGTCTTTTCGAGAAATGAGTTTCATCCGAGAAGGTTTCGGGCGAGTGTATGTGTTAGAAGTATTGGGCTTCTCGTCACCCTCGTATGAATGTAAAGTTATTTGAGAGTGGGTTTAGATTGGAGGAGTTGCGGTGCCTCGAAGTTGATTATTGTTTATAGTCCTTTGTGGAATAAGAAGGAAAGGGTGGCATGCATGCATGCTTGTGATTTTGAAGGGTGGCTGGGTATGCCCAGCGTAAGCTGGACGTACGCCCAGCGTAATGGGACGAATGGTTGCGGGTAGCCGGGTGAGTACGCCCAGCGTACCAGGGAGGTACGCCCAGCGTACTCTCAGAAACCCCAAACCCTATTTTTAGGGTCAGCCACTATATAAGGAACATGATGGTTCACCCCTCAGCCCCCTTATGCTCATCTTCAACCTCAGAGAAACCCTAGATCTCGTATCCTCTCATATTTGGGTGTGTTTGATCTTGAAAAGCTTGTGTTGGCAAAAGAAAGGCTTGAAGGAGAAAAGGGAAGTTGTCAAATAAGAAGAAGAACGTGTGGAGCTTGTGGATCTGAAGAAATATCACCCTTTGGAGCTAGTTTAAGGTATAAAGTTTCTTGCTTGACCTTCTTATGGCATAGATCTATGTATTTTGAAGCTTTGTCTCCATTCTTGTCCCAAAAGTCCTCTCCTTGTTGTATAGCTCGATTTGGTCAAGATTATATGTCCTTTCAGACCTTTGGAGAGGTCTTAAGTGATAAAAATGAGGTCCCAAGGGCTGTAGTTATTCCATGTATGAGTTATATAGGTCTTAATGGATTAAGACCTTGGATTAAGGGCTTAAGGACGTCCCAAGTGATAAAGTCTGAGACTTTATGAATTCTAATCATATTTGACCTTTTGATCTAAAATTTGGGCTTAAGAGCTTAATCCATTAAGAGGTTAGAAAGGCTTATTGGATCTCGCAGTTACGCCTCGCGTAACCTTCGAGTACGCCCCGCGTAGCGGGCCAATGCCTCGTTTTCTTTTGGTGATCATGGCAGTACGCCCACCGTACCAAGGAGAGTACGCCCAGCGTACTCCTCCTGTGGACTTTCATTTTGGGCTTTTGAGTTTGGGCTAATTGTGGGTTGTTGGTTATTCGACCAAGTCGAGGAAATTATGAATAAAGTGTTTTGGGCCCAATTATTGTTATGGTCTTTGGATCTAGACCCATTTGATGAGGTGGTCCCAATTTGGTAAATTGGGCCAATGATTGGACTTTGTGTGAGATTTGGACTTTGGTCTTGGCCCGATAAGTGGAAGTATGATTGACCTTATGTTTATTTTTGTGATGATGGTTAGTTCGGGATTTGCGGTGAGTTGGTGATTCGAGAGTCGGCTTCTTCGGTTCAGAGTATCGGCAATCGCGAGGTGAGTTATCCTCACTATATCGACAGGGTCTACGGCACCAAGGCCGACCCTTTATCGGATGGAAATCCGGATAGTTGTCTGTTATGGTATTGCTTGAAATGGGCCGGAAGGCATTATGATATGGGCCGGAAGGCATTCTATGTTATGTGGACCGGAAGGTCATGGCCTGGAAAGGCGTATGTACGTAAGTAGTATTTTGGCTGAGACGTAGGGTGATGTTATGCTCGTGATCGATTAGGTCGGTATCCTGGTTAAGGTGATGATATGTTATGTGATCTGTTTGATCGATTTGTTGACTGTGAACTGTTATATGATTGAATGTTATGTACACAGGGTTGTTTGGACTGGAGTTTGACCCGATATGCATGGTTGTTTTATGTTCTGTTATGTTATGTATGCTTTTTATATTATGGGTCGGAAGGCAATATGTTATGGGCTGGAAGGCGATATGTTTTGGACCGGAAGGTCGTGGCCTGGAAGGGCGTATATGTGGTTGGTATTTTGGGGTTTTCTCACTAAGCTTTCGGGCTTACAGTTGTGGTTTAATGTTTTTCAGGTTCTTCAGGAGACTGTGGCAAGGCAAAGGCGTGATCGTACCGTTCCTCGCGTTTATGTTTTATGAAATGGACCTGTGAATACTCTGATAAATAATGTATTGAAAACCTTTTTGTAATAATGTTATTAAAATGAATTGTTTTGAAAAGTTTGAATTATGTTGAAATTTTTGGTCGTTACATCACATATAAGAAGAAGAAATAGATAATCAATTTTCTTTTTAATTTTTTCTTTTACATGAATGACTCGATATCCATAAGGATGTGATGAAAAAGAAACAACTTATCCAAAGAAAGAATAAACTATAAACTGAACACAATCTTGAGGCATACATTCAATACATTTTTGGATTACATGATTACCATTCTGATCACGAACACATTTCATGAAGAAACTATAAACTAAACGCAATCTTGAGGCACACATTCAATACAGTTCCATCATTAACAGAAGCGGTAACTAACAATTATATTACATGAAAATACAACTCATTACAACATTTTAGGTAATTTTATTTATTTTTCTTGATGATATCATTAAGTAGTAAAGAGTGTCTCATTCATGCATATCAACAAACAGTTGATATGCAAGTGAAAAGAATAAGGTGGGGTCGTTGGTTGAGGAGCATAGTGAGAGTAGGCGGTGCTTGGCGGAGGGCATGATCGGAATCGGGTGTCAATGGTTATGTGTGCTAGGAAGCAAAGCACATGGAAAAGTTAAATTACACATAAGTCTATCTCTCCATTAAAACTTAAATGAGGTGCTTCTTTTTTTACTTAAAAAATCATTTATATATATATATATATATATATATATATATATATATATATATATATATATATATATATATATATATATATATATATATATATATATGTGTGTGTGTGTTTGTCATTTTTGGCTTAAAAACAGCCATAAACTTCTAGAATGCCCGCAGACATTTAAAAGAAAACATTTCCCAGCTCCTAGTTAGCAAACTATCAAATCGGTTTAAATAAAACCTGTTTTCCAATAAATGATATCCGGTTCGGTTTTCGGGTTTTTAACCTGCATCTAAGCCTCTAACAATATCTCTTTCTTCGTGGGCCTAAAGCCCAATATCAAGGTTATGTCTTTCAATATAAAAGACCATAAACTGTAAATTTTCCTTCTTTTTAAATAAAGTAACAAAAATAAAACCTTATATATCAGTAAATAAATTTCGTTCATTTTATAAATATCTTCCAATGTTTTTTCATTTATATCTATATCATTCTAGAGACAAAGATCTCATAAACCAAATAAAATGTACGAAAACTTTTATTGTTCACAGTTTCCAGTAACGTTTGAGCGTCTGATGGTCCAACTATACACCACTTGTGGTCCTGTAAACTCATTTACACTTTCTCCACACTTCGGATTCTCTATGTTTTTCATGCCTTTTTGAATCTAAAAAGAAACAAATTAAATATTTAAAAGAGTAATAATTGAGTTAATGGGGTCACCATCGACATCTATATAAGGACCACATTTCAATTTATCGATAAGTCTCCGCATGCATTGCATTTGCAGCTCACATATCCACTGTCATCATGTTGCAAACTGGACCACTAACATAACACTCGTTACGATTTATGCTCTAGTCAGATAATATCAAATAACACTGAGATTTTATATATAGATAGATAAATAAATAATTAAAATATTCAAAAAAAAACACAAAAGAAACTACATACTCTTATCAATCAAATCAAATCCACACGATTACATAATATCATTTTACAAACGAGTTAGTCATGATTCAACATAAGGTCTCACAAAAGTTCTACGCCACCAAACCTCAAAAGCCTTTTGAAGATTCGGGCAATTATCACCTAATTTCAAGAAACTACTCAACCACCCGAGTAAAATAATCTGCTGATCCTCTAGCGGGAGTGTTAATATAGTCCTCCCGATCCCCTCCTCCACCACCTTCCGATCAAACGACTTACACCCATGTTGCAACCATCTATAATCATCGATCAACGGTTGTAACCAAGTCTTTAAAAGCAAGTGTCGCGTGTCTTTACACGGTAAAACCTCCCCTCTTCCAATACCCACAAATAATCTAGCTGTAATACAGCTGACATGGTAGCGGTTCACTAGTGGAACCCTACAATGTAGGCCGGCCAGCTCCTGCTGGCCGGCCCACATGACCGCGAACTCATCAGCTGAGTTCCGGTCAGCTAATATATCAAGGAGCCACGACAAGTTGTCGGACTCCAACACCATTTGTTTGACCGCCGGATCTTTGATTTCCGGCGGTTGATCTCCGAACTCCGGCGACGCCAGTTGCCGGAACAGGAGCAGTAAAGTAGTCAACGCAGCTTTACACGATGTGTAAATGGTGTCGTGGAGGTCAACTGAGGTTGTTGACTTATTGTTTTCACGGAGGAGTTTTGAGACGACTGTTTTCATTTCGCGGCGGCCTTTTTCTTCTGTGCTTTTGAGTACGAGGTGGAGGACGTGTGAGAGCGTGTCTTTTTGAGGTTTTGATACGTCCGATGATACGCGTTTAAGGATTGGGTTGACCCCGGTTGACTCGTGTTTGAGGTGTAAAATTGAGGATACAACACGTTCTTCTTCTTCCTCACCTACCCATGGGACGGCTTCTAGAAACTCTAGGCATGATTCAATGCATGTTTTGAATCCGAGTACCTCCGCAACCTGAAATTATTATTTGATGTTGTTAAGATGAAGGTGATGAGAGTGAAAAGACTATTTTACCCTTAAACTATCCAAGATTTACCGAGATCTTGCACGTAATATTTGATGCAAATAGTAATTATTAATTAATTCCTCTGTAACCCATTACACGATTTTATTCCACAAAAAAATATTCTTCGCATCTTCACTTATTTCCAACTTCTATACATTTTCAAAAACAATCCATACATTTATTAGATTTTTACAGATTTGACCCACGTGTTTCTAACTTTCTATAGATTTCCAAAAACAGTACTTACATTTATTAGGTTTTTACAAATTTGACCCATGTGAATTTATTACAATAACTTTTCAGGTTTTATATTATTAGACAACTATAACCAAAATAAATTACTATCGTATATTTGTCAATTATGTTGGTTTTATATAAATTATTGTGTTTTAGATTATTAAACGTTTAAATAAATTTGAAATATTATATAATAAAACAAATTCAATTTATTATATAGATTCACAAGTAACATATATTAGATACACAGCATATTATACAAATAAAAATAACTAAAAAGTGCATAAATTCAAATTAAAGGACAAAATCATACAATAGATACTTAAACCACAAATTTAATGTTAACGAATAAAATATCTTTGATAGTTGTTGATTAAGTCAGATCTGACTGAGTCAATGACTAAGTCAATGTCAGTCAATGTCAATGTCTATGTCTATGTCTGACCGAATCAAATCAGATAGACAATTCTCTGACAGTGTAGGAACAGAGACCGAGTCAAAGGCTTTTAAATGTAATATCAAACAGTCTGAATCTCACCAATCGAGTCAAACAGCACCTAACATCATATTTGACATTTTACTATTTCACAAAACACCATTTTTTGTTGAGAAATGGGATTTGATTTTGGGTGATAGATGACCCTAAATGAATCTTTACAACTATTTTTTGAGTAATTGCATCAATGGTATTGAAACAAGATATAAAATGAAATCTACACATATCTAACTTATGTTAATCTTTAAACAGTTATAAATATCAGATTTTTAGTAAACAAATTGGTCAAAGAAGATTTATCCTTAAATTCCATTGGAAAATTGTGAGCTTTTTTAATTGGGTCAACAACGAATTTAACTCCTGAGTCAACCAGTCCTCATATTTCCAAGTTCCAACTACTTAGATTTATTGCAGAAACTCATTGGTAAAAGAAAAATAAAGTCTAATAATATCATCATCATCAACAACAACATCATCATCATCATTCATCAACAACACTTCTTCACAATTCACAAAGTAAGCAAATGGTATCTCAAACTATATTTTCAGATCAGATTAAATGCAAAAAAAGAGTTTCATGGTTGTTTTTAAAGATCCAATATCATCATCCTATATTCATACATGTTATAACATATAAGAACAGGATAAATAAATCAATGGAAACAATCAAAATGTAAGTAGAAAGTTAAGAAATTACCTTAAGGATTCGAAGAACCCTAGAAACACTTTGTTTGATCAACCTTTGCTTCAACTCTTTACAATACATCAACCCAACAGTCTCAACATACGTTTCAACGTCTTCACAATCATCAACTTCGATACAATGGAAGCTCGGATGCTGTGCTAATAATTTCTCAGCAAAAAACGAACTATTTTCTTGAAGAACAGTCTTATGAACACTCAATTTCACAGTAAACCCCTGTCGACCCTTTAAAACCACCTTCAAATCACCTGTTCCAGGTTCACCAAACTCGATCGATACTTTTCTCGGCAAATTTTCTGTGTTTGGCCGGACGGCGGTTCTCTCGCCGACGACAGATGCAGCAAGAACAACAGGTGGTTCAAAACCGTTTTTCCGTTGATCATCGGGGACGACAGTTTGAGTTTCCGATTTTGAAGATGAACGCGATGGTTTTTTATCGAGTTCTGATGAATGTTTCTTCTGATCGGTGGAAGTTTTGGTAGGTGGAGAAGATGATGATTTGGGTCTGTTTAAAGGGTGTTGTGCTTTTAGGGTTTTTTGAAACATAACAGGAGAAGGACAACACCAGAATCCTTCTGGGGTTACAGCAATCGGCACATTTCTAATCTTCGTTTGCCCTTGTTCTACTTTCGTTAGTCTAATTTCCGCCATTTCAAGAAATTCTCAAACATTCGTGGGATTCTTCCAGAGTGTACGAAAACAGAAATCAAAAAATACCCTAAACCCAAAATTACAAGATAACAAGAACCCAACAAGCTTACCGATTAAAGTCGATTGGTGAAGATTCCTTGAAACGAAACCCTAACAACACACATGACATGACATAGGAGAATAAAATTGATGAGATGGAAGTGAGATTTAACAGGGTGGAAATGGAAGGAATGATTACAAAATCGAAATAATATATGGTGGAGATGATAAAAGTGAAGGGAACACAAGAAAAGAGAAGATAAAGGGGAAGCGTTTGATGATGGGTTTATGCTTTTCAGTCACTGGGTGTGTTTGTTTTGTGGCAATTTCAGCTTTTGATTTTAAATTGGGACACACAGAAACACACAGTGTGTGATTGTTATGTGGCTGTCAATTCCTGTTTATGCTTTGTTTTCTTGCTTTTGCTTTGCTTTGCTTTGCTTTTTAAGTACTGAATGAATGTGAAGAATGCTATGTCAAGAACATGAAAATGGTTAAAATCATAAAAGTTTTGAGTAATTTACATGTTTGTCCACAGAATCTGAGTTTGGTTAAGTTAAAAAAGGGACTAAAATGTAATTATTGCCTTTGTCCAGGGGTTATTTCCGTAATTTTAGTGCATGTTAGCACATATCCCTATATATACAATTATTTGTTTTATATATAAAATTTTATAGGAAGATAAGTATTGAAATTTGTGTCGTAACTTTTACGGCTTATAATGTTATTTTATAGGGGAAAAAACAAATAGATCGTTATGTATTTTTCTAAAACATGATATTTTATGAAAAAAAAAAAAAAAAAAAAAAGATAAGTAATTGTTATTGTTTCAATTACTAAAAGCAGCATAACAATATATCACTTGGAAAATATGTCATTTATCAAAAGACAATATATCACTTGGAAAATATGTCATTTATCAAAAGATTTAAGTTTCAAGTCAAGCCTTAAGATATTGGTTTTGTTTACGAGTGTAATGTATATTTTTCAAACTAAAATTTTTATTTTCAAAATTAATATATATACACATTTCATAGGATAGCAATCAATGTAAGACAGTTTATTCAATAAACCAAAATTCATAATTAGAGTTATAAAGAAAAATGTCGCATAATCTTGAATCATAAAAATTAGGATATGTGTGTACAGTCATATTTGCATCTACTTACGATTCGATAAGTATCTGAAAAACATTTAATCCATAACTATAAATATAAAGTTTAGTGACTTTCCAAAAATACAACAAACAACAATATACATACAATGCATACAAACATTTGTTTTGTAACGTCTGGTTTCCGGTACGCATTTAAATTATAATTTATTCATTTTTGTAGAGCAACTCGACAAGTTTGAAAGCTCAAACTCGTCGAGTAGAGATGAGAGGGGACGCGGGTTATAAGTAACCTACTCGACGAGTTAAGATGAGTAGGCTTGTAGGGGTGAAACCCTAATTTCAGGGTTTTGCACCCTATTTAAGCATCCTAATCCCTACATGTTTGGCCTCATTTCCAGCCTCCAAGTCTCAAACCCTAAATCACGAAACCCTAATGCTTTGTGTGAGCTTGTGAGATATTTTTGAGTGAATCTTCTATGTTTGAAGCTTGTGAAGGAAGAAGAAGCTTGAGGATTTAAGAAGAAGCTAGTAGATCTATAGACACCATTGCATCCTCATCATTTTCTTGTAAGCAAGTCCCAAACTTGCTTAGTAAGTTCTTAGATCTTCTTATTATCATTTTATTGGGTTTTCGGTCCAAGAAGTATGAGCTTGGGAAATAGACGCCCCAAGTGAGTATACCATCAGATCTAGAATCATGGAGGGCTTTCATGGCATAAAGGTAAAAACTTTATGGCCATTGAAGCCCCATGCAAGTTATATGATGTCATTTTGGCCTTTTAAGCTCCAAAAGGCCATGCATGGAGAGAAAGGCGGAAGCTTTACATGTTCATATAGGGTCTAGAGTCCAGATCTCAGTTTGTGTGCGTTAGCTTGGAGTATTGATGGCTTGTAAGCCAAGATCTAAGTCATATATAGTTAGGGTTTGAGCTAAACCCATTAAGGGAGGGTATTAACGGGTAAAGTTGGAAAATTTACCCTTAAAAGGACATTTTCATTATGTAGGTGAAGTATGAAGCTCAGATATGAAGATTAGGGGATTAATCTATTGAGGTGAAGCAACATACTAGAGAACTCGGTGAGTTCATAGAGGAACTCGACAAGTTGAGTCGATTTTTCCCGATTTTGGTAAGGGTAGAACTTGACGAGTCACGAGGATGACTCGGTGAGTTGAGTCAACTCGGAGTGTTGAGTTTGACTTTAACCGAGCTTTAACTTTGACTTGACATTGACTTTGACCAAGGTTGACCCATAAAGGGGTCTTGAGTATAGAATGGTATCTAAGGGGTTGTTTCTATATAGGGGGTGAGTAGAGCCGATTGTAGGAGCAGAGACGTACAACTATTTCACACAACATTTGAGGTGAGTTTTCTCCTGTAGGAACGGGTTGAAGGCACCAATGCGACCTATTTATGTATGTTAGTATGTTCCAGATTAAGGTCTGATGTCGGGCGGGCCCGATGTAGGTTTATATGTTTTTCTGGATTTTGATCCGATGCCGAGGCAGTACCCGATGAATGTTTGTATGCTTGATGTCTTTGTGATTCTTGCATGTGTTTGTATCAATATGTTTTCGGACTACGGTCCGATGCCGTGGCGGTTCCTGAGGAATGTCTGTATGCTTTCTGGATCTCGGTCCGATGACTCGTAGCAGATTGAGAGGTGATAACATGGTTCGAGTACCATGACTCGTGGTAGATTGAGAGGTGATAACATGGTTTGAGTACCATGATTCGTGGCGGTTAGTGCTTCAGAGTTACTAGTTATCACATTGTGATTGATTGAACTGAGAACAGATATGATAAGAGTGTGGGGCCAGGGAGCCATGTCGAATGAGTTTCAATAGAGCATACCTTGAGAGGGAAATCGAGTTAGATTTCGAGAGATTTTATTGGTGAGATGCCAGTTAGAGAGGTAAGACTCAGGGATGAGTAGAAAGGATACTTATTTGGAGGATCACGGTCTGAGTTAAACAATCGACCAGTAGATGAGACATCACTTTCTGTGACAAGAGTTATGTTGTCCCCGTTTCCTGGGAGAAGCAAAAGAGATAATGAGCTTCCGGTTTTAGAGTTTGGAAGTAAAACCGTAGGGTAGCATAGGGTTGCAACCTTTCCGTTAGAGTATTTGGGCAGTATGTTTGCTGCGAGGTATTTCTTATACCACGAGAGAGTCATTAGTGGGACTAAGATGGAAGAGAACAAGGAGGTGCCTTATTGAGGGAGGCATACTTTTAGCAGCAGTTCCAGGTGATTCAGAGGAGTATTAAGGGGCGGTGGCCCTCATTGTATGTGTTATGTATCGACTGTGAGAGTGAGGTGTCTTTCTTTTATGATGATTCCCGTGATGGGAGGCTAGTCGGGGAATCAGAGACGAGGTGTGTGATGGTGCCTTATTTCCAGATTGAGAGTCATGACTAATTCGGAGCAGTTGGGGTATCTGGTGGTGTGTCAGTTTGAGGCTTTGAGAGGACTAGAGGCAGTCGCGTTGGGAGGATTCTGAGATTTTTGTCTGAGTTACAGGATATTTGGAGTTGCTTTGTTTTCCATCGAGAAGATCATGGAAGTGATTACGTCGTACGTTCCAAGAGTCAAGTGTGATATACCTGGTGAAACAGTCTATGGAGTAGATTGTTGGTATGCCAATTGGTGATGGTTCGAACCTTGAGTGGGGGAGAACTGGGTATTCTATTGAGAGGATAAACGATCCGTTCAAGTGCGGCTAGAAAAATAATTTTGGAGATCTACGGTGCGGACACATGAGACCTGGGTTATGGGTGGATGAGGCAAGGTGCAAGGCGAGATGATGCATGTCTTTGTGCTTAAGAAAGGACGAGTTAATCCACAGCAGGTGGCCGTTGGTTAGAGAGTTTTCTGTGGCTAGGTATTTTCGGGTTTACAAATGTTGAGTTCGAGGCGGTTGGGTCACTGAGTGCAGGGTGCGATAGCTGAGGTTTGTGGGTATAGGTATAGATTGTGATCTATACTCCAGTAGGGGCAGCAGTTGATTTGTCAAGCCATTTTCAGATTCGGTATGAGTAGTTTTGTATGGGTGGTGATCCGTAGAGGATGGATCTTTGGATTTACGTCAATGTGTTTTCAGTCATTGACGATTCCTCCATGTTTCAATTTGTGAGATGGGAGTATTTCGAGGTTCCGAGTTGTGTAAGTGGAAGATCAGTGGTTGAGGCAAGACATCATGAGATGTTTTGATGGTGTACCGAGGTACCCGAGTATGATGTCCTAATTTTTGGTCATGTTGAGGTTCGAGTTGTGAGATGACGAGTGGAGTACCGGGTGACTTTTGTTGCAGTGGGAACCCATTAGTTAATTGTCGCCAGAGTGGGACTGTCTAAGGGTGTATCGGTGCTAAGAAAAGTGCCTTGCCTACAAGAACTTACATCAGGATTGGTGGTGCATAAGTTGGGTGGGTGTAAGCACATACCTATGTTGAGCTTCGGAGCATGAGTTGGTGAACTCCGTGTGGTGATGACTTAATGACAAGATTATGGGGTGATAAGAGAGCGAGTGGATCCCAGTGGGAGTAATCGCTAGGGATTATTAGGAAAAACCATGGAGTGAGCCCATGGTGATTCAATGAGCGAGAGAGTGTTGTAAGACTACAGGTAGCCATAACATACATGAGTTAGTGGGAGAGGGTATCGTGGTATTGTAGGGAATCGTAGTATTCAATAGTTAGCGAGAGAGTGTCGTGGTACTGCAGGGAGTCGTAGTATTCACTGGATAGTGAAAGAGTGTTGTGATACTATGGGGATCCGTAGTACTCACTAGTCAGCAAGAGAGTGTCGTGATACTGCGGGGAGCCGTAGTATTCACTGGATAGTATTGAGTTAGCCTCGAGTGGCTAATGTGATGTGTGTAATATTTTAGAGAACTCACTAAGCTTCATGTTTACCGTGTTATGGGTATGTGTTTCAGGTACTTTTCATGATTACGGGAAGGCACCGGCTTGATTTTACACACACTCGCTTTGAAGATTTGTTTTTTGAGGATCCTGGATTTGATATATATAGTTTTTGGATATGAGATTTGATGATTTGACATTGTGACATTTTGTGATTTTATTATTGAGATAAGGGTGTTTTTAAATTGAAATTTTGGTTTAAAATTTTACGTTGTTGTAAGTTTGTATCAAAGCCTTGGTTTGAGGGATTTGGATG